AAGTCTCTCTCTATCTCTCTCTCCCTCTCTCTCTCTCTCTCTCTCTCTCTCACACACACACACACACACACACACACACACACACACACACACACACACACACACACACACACACACACACACACACACATAGTCTGTCTGCGTCTTAGAATCTTAGTAGCATCCATGTTTCATTTACCCAGTACGTTCATTTCTGTCTCTCTCTCACTCTCTCTCAACAATCATGTGCTCCTTATATTCCCAGCTTACAATAGTTCCCGTGTAGCTGACCAGTACGACAAAAGCCTACTGGCGGTCAGTTACTCTGGACATCAGATCTGTGCTGACATCGTGGCCGGTGTGACGTCACAGCACCCAGACAGAAGCCAGGTCAAGGTCATCGATGTCTGTGCCGGCACAGGTGAGAGCGCGTGAATATTTTAACCTCCAATCCAATCTACATTAGTGGCGTCGGTAGCCCAGTGGTCATACCCAGTGTCCATTGGCACGATAGGTTCGGTTCAGTTCGGACTGCTAGCCAGATTGAGGGCGTAAAGCGGCTATGGTGGCACAAACCGATTGCTCGACTCGTCGCCTCAAAAACAAACACCGCTCAAATGACCTGATGCAGGTGTGAGCGCCGTAAAACACTTACCATAAAAAACCAACAAACAAACAAACGCGTTTGTTCTCAAGCGACGAGTCGGGCGATCGGTTGGTGATCGGTTTGTATTAGAGAGCCGATCAACCAAATGGGCACTTCGTATTAAGCTACCGGACCTGTAATCGTGAGATTGCGGGATTGGGGGTTTGTACCTCAGCTTGGTCCAACATTGTGTTCTTGGGAAAGGTACTTGACACGAATCTCCCATTTAGCTCAGTCCTTTCTGAGATTGACTTATTGAGTCTAGTTAGGTGATAAGTTGAGACGCACACTGCAACTCCACAAGTTCGTGTTCATCTGTAACACTATCACCATCATCGCCAACAACAATAGCAGCAACAACAGCAGCAACAACAACAGCAACATAACCACCAGCAATACCACTACCACCACCACAACCATCATCAACACCACGACCACCATCAACAACAACAGTAATAATAACCCTCCGTTCTCTCCCCTCCTCTTATTTCCGTACCGACAGTCGTGATAGGCAAGGCCCTCCACCAGTAATGGTTCCATGACCTCACCAATAGCTTCACTACCACAACCACTACTACCACCACCACAAACAACAACAACAGCAACAACAACAACAACAACAAAAGCAGCAGCAGCAACAACAACAACAATTACTTTCCCTTCTCTCCTCCGCCCCTCTTTTTTTGTACCAACAGGCGTGATAGGCAAGGCCCTCCACCAGCAAGGGTTCCATGACCTCACCCACCATTAGCTTCACTACAACGACCACTACTACCACCACCACCAACAACAACAACAGCAGCAACAACAACAACAACAACAACAACAACAACAACAACAAAAGCAGCAGCAACAACAACAACAATGACTTTCCCTTCTCTCCTCCGCCCCTCTTTTTTATTACCAACAGGCGTGATATGTAAGGCCCTCCACCAGCAAGGGTTCCATGACCTCACCAATAGCTCCACTACCACAACCACTATCATCACCACCACCAACAACAACAACAACAATATCTTCAACAGTAACAACACACCCACTAGCAACACCAATACCGTCACCACCACCACCACCACAACAACAACAACAAAAACAATTATAACCCTTTCTTCTCTCCCTCTCCCCTCTTATCCGGGTGTGTGATAGGCAGGTGCTCTGGTGTGGTCTGCTTCTTTTTTCCTATCAAACATCTATCGTCCATATCTCCCCTTCTTCTTTTTTATGTTTGTTACTCTCTTGTAACACCTCCAATCTTCTGTCGCTCATGACCTTATTAAGCTGTAAAACCTCTACTAAAACTAAACTATCACCTCTTTTCCGTACCAACAGGCGTGATAGGCAAGGCCCTGCATCAGCGCGGCTTCCGGGACCTCACCGCACACGATGGTGCGCAGGCTATGGTGGACTTTTGCCAATCCACAGGCGCATACAACCAGTTCCTCTGTTGTGCTCTCAACGATTTGGGCAGTCTGCCTTTTGCTGATAGTGAGTTTGTTTCTCTCTTATTCTCTGTTCCTAAACCGCGCACTCTTTCTGTCTCTGTCTGTGTTTCTGGCTGGCTGTCTGTCTGTTTCTCCCTCCCCCCCCCA